TGAATGTTCCATCTAAGCTCATGACACAAGAACTGCTTACCAGAAATCACCACACTCTGTTTTAGTTAAACATTATTCAAACGTAAACCATGTTTGAAATGTACTGTTTACGTACTAATAAGCATTTGAAGCCCGAGGCTGAGTTAAGCTTGGTGATAGCCTGGCTTCCATCGCTACACGCTATTGCCGACTCTTTTGGCGACGCTGATTGATCAATTGCATGAACCTCGGTTTCCATAGAATCGCTCACCTTATCGACGACAGTCGCCGACAGCTGTCGTGAAGGCTGAACCTGGTTCAACTTTGCCGATTGCGTTGCAGACGAATCAGGGTGCATTGCTAGTTGCCCTGTCGCAATCGGGAAGGCACCCCGATTTGTCTGCAATGTAATCGGCAAAGTTGAACCAGGTTCAACGTTCCCGACACCTTAGTCGGCGACTGTCGCCGATAGGGTGAGTGATTCTATGGAAACCGAGCTTAATGCTGATTGGTCGGTCGAATCGGGAAGCCTTCCCGTCGTCGGGAACTACGCAGTACAACGATGGCGCTGAAAACACTCCAGCGACAGTAACTGGAGCCATTTTAAGGAAACCAGACTTTACTAATCAAAAGATATCGTAATTCCGCGATTTAGTTTCTCTAAGTATAGATAAGCATTTATCAGATGTCCTTTAAAAGCCTATGGCTGGGCCTATGGTGAACATTTTAGTGAAATGAAAAACCTATAGACGAGAAAAGATGCATAAATTCATGAAGAATAGCTATAGGCCTTATTTTATTACTAATAAATTTGTCAAATGCGAGCCTTCCAAGTTAGTAATGCTTATACCTTGTAATTTGAATATTAGACGGTAGGCCTACTGTTTATTGTGGCTCCACTTTACAACGCCTACCGTATTCTTCACTACCGATCTCGGAGTTCTGACCATCTGGAACTGCACACTTTTAAAATTATGAATAAAATGGGTGTAGCCACGTTAGTCTGCTACAGAAAAATATAAGAAATGACAAATCTCAGCACTTTAAAGACTACCATAACATTTTTAGCTCTAGCTTTCGTCCAAACAGCGGACTTCATCGGGGGACTGTGATGAATTTATTTGGAAGTCTCCAGCTCTAAACGAAATCCAAAGCTAATAAATGTTTAGTTAGTCTTTAAAGTGTTGAGATATGTCCTTTCTTATATTTTACATATGAATGTTAACTCTGAAACTCTCCTTTAAGGTTGTTTACGCTTCTGCAAGCCTGATGAAGGTTTACAGTCATTCTGGTACGAGCTATCAACAAACGTCTGAGCAGAATCAATATTACAAATCTTCTGGAGTTAATATCAAGAAGCTTTCCATTAAGATTTTCAGCAGCCCCTATCGATTGAAGCATGTTCGAGTCCCATCTCCATCGGTAAACAATGTAATACTTTATAAAAGTAATCAACCGTATTAGAAATCATTAACATTAACGTGATAAATATACAATCCATACCAAAGTATGTACATGGGACACTTGATTGAAAAATTCATGACTAATTGTTTCATATCGTTTCATCATGAGTAAAAGTTAATGTCAGCCAAACTAGACAAGATGACAAATCGTTAATCAAACAGCGGAGAGTGTCATTTGTCTTGGCAGTGAATAATCCTGTAGGACCATCAAATGAGGTTAAACTCCACAATGGTTGAGGCAATGCTTTTATGGACGATAAGTTTCTCAGACCTCAAAATCAATATTGATCCCACAAGATCACCTGATATTAAAGCAGCTCTTAATTTTTTTTAAATGTTAACTTGATTGAAATGGTGTTTAAAAAATGTCTATGCTATTATTTCGAAAGTTAATTTATTTGATTGATTGATTGACTTTATTCGATATTTCACATAAGAACAATGAAAAACAGCATGAATATCAAGAACGCATTAAGTCGGCATTACAACAAGCCGACTTATTTCCATTGGGGTCCAGACCATTAAAATCAGAAAAGTGAATTAAAAAGGTAAAATTGCTAATATTTTTAAATTGTAAAAAGTCTGTGATTTCTGTTCAATGGACCTGTATTACATTCTGCCTAGAGTTTTTCCCTGAGCTTGGAGATTTGGCGTGAGCTAGTAACCGAAAGGAAAAGGCGCAATATAAATGATCGTATTCCAGTACCAGTCAGAAAAGGTATAAAAATATATAAATACAACACAAACACAATAGGCCAACAACAAAATCAATTAAAAGAGACACAGCAAAATAACACTGATTTGCTAATATTTTAAATATTCTTGAAATTTTATCTCGAAAGTTGATTAATAATAGAATGAATTACAGGTAACTGCAATTATCAAAATATTGTAAAGTTATTTTTGTTATGCGGATATAACATTTTATGTACTGTAGGCCTAAGGCTGTGAATCTTAAATCTAAACAATACAGTAATCTATGTAAAGAAAATTAAGTCACAAAAAATCCACAAGAACAAAAAAGACCAAATTCTGCATTAGTTGATGTGGTACATTATTGTATATTGGCGTGTCTGTATGATTATCAGATTCGTTTAATATGAAACAAGTTTTAAAGTACGTTATGGATATTTTTTGACTGAAAACGTATGAAATGTAAAATGGACTATTGTCACAGGTGTGTTTTGTTTATAGCGATTTCTTTCCCGATGATAGCATCTCATTTGTCTATGTTACGTACGGCACCCTCAGTTAGCTTGTTTGTTTATAACGTCGGCTTAAAAAAGAGCCTAAATCACTATCTCCTCTTCATCTGAATTCCAGTAGATGACATTTAAACGAGTCGCTTCTTGAGTACATGCCTAATGTTGTCTCTAAGGCGATCGAAATATTCTTGGTCATGTATAATGTGTAAACATTCGCCTTCGCCAGCACGAATATTGTAAATAAATGAATTAGGTTTTCTGATTTCTCAATGATTTTGCTCCAGGAACAAAGTTTATAAGGATATTATTGATTGTTGGAAAAGCATTTAATGCGATTATGCGGTCAACTTCCGTTTATTAGCTTAATCAAAGATGTACGTTTTTTTTTTGTTTTTTTTGTTTTTTTTTTTGTTTTTTTTTTACAAAACAAGAGACTACAGCATCGGTGTTTTTTAATTAATGTCATACACCGCATATATACATTTTTATGAGCCCAATTTATTTATTTCTGCTTTCAACTGTAAACATCCTTTGCTCTTCTAAATAACCGTAATGTATATCCTCCTTAATATTATGACATTTCATTGGCCATTAGAATAATATTTACTTGGAACTATAGCTCATGAACATTCCCAGAAAATGAATCTATCGATGTGTGGCGGAACGCATAACTACGTGGAACTGTGAACCTTCAATAAGATGGACAATCGGGTGTGTGGCTGGACTGAAAACCAGAGTAACGGAATGGTCCTATAGGTACTTTGGAGCCTAAAACAACCGAAGTACAGCACCACCCTTGTGGTGGATTGGGCAGTAAACAGGAAGACAAACCCTGTTCCTTTTGAAAGGGTCTGCATCTTACAAATTTACCAACTATAACTATGTCAACCAATAAGCTGGTCTCTACATGGATATTAGTTTCATGCTTTACAGCCTGTTTAATTTGTATGTGCTTACAACCATCACATCGAGAACGTTCAATATTAACGAACTTTTGGGCAGACGACTATAACATATTAACGTTACACAAACCTGGACAAGCCTCTTTGTTTCCATAATACGGTAAACAATGTCAATAACATTAGTTAGTACACGCGTCGCAAACCTCGTCTAACCTCTACGATAGATTCTCCAGAAATTTGACTTCCACAACTTACAGGCGCGAATCCAGTAGGGGAGAGCACGTTTCCCCGTTTTGCAACTAAATTATAAAATTTCAATGCATATCAATGAATTGAAACAAGCGCTATTCACTTATCTATTCTGAAAATGTTGTGTGCTCCCCTCCCCCCTCCCCCTCACTTATGAAAAAATCTGGATCCTGCTAACCATAACGGATGTGTAACTACTGTGGCGGTAGACGGTTTAAGTACAAAAAAAGTAATTGCGATTGAGGTTTCAAATACTATTATGGTCTAAAAGCAAAATACTTTAACTATCATAAGCAATTATACAGACCACGGACATACGAAAAAAGACTCATGATTCTCATGTTTTGATTGGACCCACGGTTGGACCTCATATCTGATAATTTCTAGAGCCACATAAACAATTAAAATTACCAATTACAACACCAATTACCAATTACAACACTCACACAGGCCTCATTAGTGAGTGACTTCGGTCAAATATTGCCAATTTTCAAATTGTCAATTGCTAAAGTTCAATTGGGCGTAAAGTTAATACCGGCTTTTTTATTCTTTTCACCAAAGTGGATAGGCATCTACCTCAGTGCATCATGAATTCGATCAGCAATATTTAAACTTAAAAAAAAACCCCATCATCCATTTTAATATTAAGCTGGGCACGAATCTAACTCCGCTCCGTGTAAGCGCTAGACTGCTGAATGTCAGTGGCAATCTGAATGGATCGGCATTAAAAAAACGATCCGTTGCGCGCTCGTCATCATGGCGTTGCGTTCTCCATGGAATTCCGCCGCCGACATTGTCGGGCGCAGTGCGTGCCCGGCCGGCTTAAGATTTAACTATCTGTTCGATTTTGGACAGCGAGTAAATATTTTGGGAATTATTAGAGCACAACTGTACAAGCTCTCCTCTCGTTAATCTCTTGGCATATTTCTTTTTTTTTAATTATTAAATTTGTTTTGACGCTACTAAATTTCATACAAATAATTTTACCAAACCTATCCAAAGCGTCCTTGACAAATTGTTCTTGACTGCAATATTCGTTGGGGTGTGATTAATGAAAAGAACATTAATAATCTGTTTAAGTCTCCTAATAACATTATTCCGATGAAACTCACTCAGATGATCTACGATGTTGATTTAATATCGACTCAACTGTTTAGATTATAGAGAATACTGCACCTTTAAGGAACACTCTCACAATATTATCAAGAGAGTCGTTTTTACTGCGACATTCGTGAAATATTACTCGACACTAAGACTCCATCCGTACATCTGTTTAAAGAGCAATGGTTCTTGAATCGTTGATTTGAGTGTTGTTTTTTAGACGGAATTCAACAATAAAATCTACCTGTAGACTAGATTTCCTAATTGAGAATTCATGATTTTAAAAAAAACAGGAATTTGACAATGATTCTAACAGATTCTGAGGCATAACATGTTAGGTTTGGGAAATAACAATAAAATAATAATAATAATAATAAGAGTAATAATAATAATTATTATAATTATAATTATAATTATTATTATTATTATTATTATCTATTATTGATACCAATGATTTGTGATCTATTGATAACAGATGTTGGACATTAATATAATTCTGTTACAAAAGTGTTATAACACTGTGCATTTGGAACAGTGTAGAAAATCCTCAAACTGCAGATGCTGTTGTAGCGGCTCGCATCGGGAAAACCAATAATAGTATTCCAAGCTTTATTGTCAAAACACGACGTAACAATACCTACAAAATATGGTACCGGTACGGCTTATGTAAAGAGGATAATGTTGTGTACAAAGAGCAATAGAACTATGACAACTACCTCACTCATATGTGAATCACAATCAAGTTGGTATAGTCTTAAGCGGGTCATGTTTTCTACAATAAAGCTTTGAGTACAGTATTTGATTGGAATGCCCTTCAAATAGTTTTGTATTTACATTTTGTCTTCCTCACGACATTGCATACGTTGAAATGTAGCAGTCATTAAAATGTTAAATCACACATCGATTTAAATACATTACCGAAAATCAGGCATTAGGCACTGCGGAAATACGTCAGTCAATGTAGATGCCGGGCATAGTCCTAGTTATTTTTTCCGACGAGTTCAAAACAATCACACTTCAGTGAGATCAAGTTGTTCTGATAAAACTCAATTATATCCTGAATAATAGGCCTATACAATAACTTATATTTTGAAACACAACAGACGAGTGCGTCTCTTTATTCTGATAAAATATTTGCAAAGCACTTAAGAGATATGAGCGGAAGCAAACAAACGTGTTAGACTTGCATACGGTGTCCAATAATACACGATACTTCGATGTTGCTGATATACTGTACAAGCAAAATATAATATGCTCCGTTCAAATTATTAGGCCTAAACGAAAGTCCATCCGGTTGGAAATCTAGTTTCATTCCATGATCATTAGGCAGAATCTAAATAATTGAGTTTTTAGACCCCAATTACCTGGATTGCGGTCACATTATTGAGCATTTCTTGTTCTTAAGAAGTCTGATTTTACCACTGGAATGGCTGTCTTTGCTGTTCGTACCTGTTATCATGCGCATAACCTCACTAAATAGCGTGACAACGCGCCAATTGAATTTGGCTGAGCATTCTAGATATCCACATTTCCAGGATTTTCTAACAACTTGAGAGTAATGTCTTCGAGGATGACGCTTCGAATCTAGATCCTGCTTATTACCGACTACCATAAACGGCACTTCTGCATCATCTTCGTAACAATCTAGAATATGTTCTCTTAGTTCTCTTATATATTCAAAGGTATCTGGGGAGTTTATATCATATACAAAAATCAACGCTTCAGCGGCGGAGATTGCTGACGCATAACCGTTCATCTCATCCTCCGACGGCCTTCGGATTGAATCTTCAAGAGGATAAAAGGGTATCGTCGGCATATCCACGATATTGATTTCAAAAAGTTGTGAATCTAATACTGCAGCTGTGGTATAAACTGACGCAACAGTCGTCGGTTTTGGGATTTCGGGAAAGCGGCAAGTTACATGTTGCTCAATCAACGAGGTCTTGCCGACACCAGGTGCTCCCAACACCACTATATGAACAGACTCCATTGGAGCTGCAACTATCTCCGATCCTACAGAATTGCCAGACATTCTCTGTGTTCTGTGCTTGTGTGTAGCACTGCTGGCCGATTTAGCTGGCATTGCAGTATCGATCAACAAACTGGATACGTGTAACATCCTTATGATTTCATCACTACCCTGTAATCTTATCTTCAGCAAACGATCATAACTGTTATTATCACGTACAGTACTGCTTCTGATGGATTAGCAGTTCGTAGCCTATCATCGACCGAGTAAGATGTCTTATTTGCCGTTAGGTAAAGCAGCCCATACTCGTCGTTTGAACTGGAAGACGCAAATGCGCTTCACACTTACGATTTCTTAAAGTTACCTGATTCCAAAATCTATGTGCTGACTGTATGGTGGCGCTGTATTTAATGAGCTTCAGTAATCTCGGTATTGTGAAATGGTTTTCTCAATCATCAACCAAATACACGACTTAATTGAGAAAAATGGCACGTGATATACACAGAGCGATGTGGCCGGATGTCCGCAAAGATGAGAAGCCTTTCAATGTCAACAGTAGTTTATAGAATTAGTGATGGACACATCCAGTTGTCGAAGTAAACACCTTGTACATTGTATTCCATTTATGGAATTGTGTTAGAACCAGTGGCGGGGGGGGGGGGCTACAACATTAAATTTCATATCATTAATAACATTTTATGAACTTTCATTAAAAATATATCTACCATTAGAAATATAATGTGGTCGATACATCCCAATCTCAAAAGTAAATAACTTGCTATCAAACTACTCAATATTATGAGCAAATAATAATAAAATAATAATAAAAAAAATATGTATAACATTTATAAAGCACTATTTCAGACTATTAGGCACATAATCTAGGCCCGTACTCATTAAATGATAAACTAATTCGTTACAGCACAAACATGTATCAAACTACTATAGCAAACCTATTATAACCGCCGAATATGTCAAAAGAGTGATGATAGTCCTACAAGAGACCAAAGCTATACATACAATAAACACACAATTAATTACACTAGAGGCCTAGTAAGAAGATGATATAAACATGATTTAGGCTTATAAAAAAAATGCAGTGAGAACTGCAATTCGTTGCCAAACTGTCTTGACAGCGTTCATCTCACTTACATTCAGTATTCAGAAAGTAACTCTGAAACCTACCTTGCTGATACACACGTGGTGTGTGTGTGCTACACTATAATACATAGACCTCATGAGTATTTGCAAACATTGACATGAGTGTGATGAACACTATGCATGTGTCCTTAATTAAAACACCCAGCATAGCAAACATTGCAATGACAGTGATCTATCGACAGATTCTTACAGACTATTGCAATTAACCATAAATGTAGTAATGATCATAATGTCGATACATAACTTTGCTGTCACATAAGCCTGACGTGTTTGAAAGTACGCGTATAAATTGTAGCGTAGAAACACCAAACTATTATAAAACTTCAACAATTGTTTCATGAATAAATCCAGCACTTAGTGTGACATAAATCCAGCATTCCTGTGGCATAAATCCTTCACAGTGCACACTGTGGCACGTCCGCCATGGGTATCATCCGGCACTCACTGTAGCACAAACCCGTGGTACACTGCAGCATTAATTTGTCGCACATTGTGTAGCATAAATCTGTATGCTACCACTCTGGCATGTATTTGTCACACATTGTAGTATAAATTCACACACAGTGATATATATATTCGTTACGAACTGTGGCAAACATTCACCATAATGGCACTGTAAAGAATTGGTTCCATTCTTATATTAATGATAGATCTTGCAGGGTTCGTGTTAGGGATGCCTTGTCTGATGAAGTTCGTGTTAATTTCGGAGTCCCTCAGGGCTCTGTTATTGGTCCTCAGCTTTTCTCTTTGTACATTCATTGCGTTGGTGACATTATCCGTCGGCATTCAATTTTGTTGACTGCTCATATAACACACCTTTCTCGGTCCATAAATTGGCAGATTCGTTGTTTGTCCCGCATCCGCAAATTTCTTGATTTTGAAACCTGTCATAATGTTGTTCGTGCCCTATTACTCTCCAGGCTTGACAACTGTAATTCACTACTCTATGGTATCAGTAAATATAATTTAAGTCGTATTCAGAAACTTCAAAATAAGTGTGCTCGCCTTGTATGTTGCAGACCCAAATATTGTCACATCACTCCTCTTCTTAATCATTTACCACGATGACTGTCTCTTATACACATCTAGATGTGTATTTCTGACATTTAATACACTGCAGTCCTCCAATCCTAGTTATATCTCCTGCCTGTTGATTTTCTTAACCTCTACCTATTCTCTCCGTTCTGTTTCCGGTTCCTGTCTATCTGTTCCCAAATCCAACAAAATTGCTGGTGATAAATCTTTCTCTTCCTCTGCTCCAAAACTGTGAAATAATCTTCCTATTTCCATCCGAAATGCTTGTAGTACTGAAGTCTTCAAAAAACTCTTAAAAGCTCATTTATTTCCTAAATAATCCTCTTCCTACAATAAACCTTTTCTAAGCGCCTTGTATCCTTTGGCAAAAGGCGCTATATAAATTTCTATATTATTATTATTATATTATTACCATACACTGTGGCACATAATTGCTTTAAATCTGTTGCATAGTTTGGCATGGATATAGGCCTAGTTGTGGCATGATTCCTTCACACACTATGACATGAATCCATCATACCGTGACATAATCCGTCATACTGTGGCATAAATGCGTAATAAACTGTGGCGTAAGTCCATCACACACGTTGCATTATGTCCGTCACATACTTTGCTATACTCCATCACAGCTGTGTCGTAGAAATTGCCACACACTGTAGCATAACACACACTGCAACATATATCTCTCACACTGTGATATAAGTCTATCAGTCTATTAAGTCTATCACTCCAATGTGGAATAAATCCGTTATACACTTAGGAAAGAATCTTACTCACCGTGGCATAAAGTCATCATGTACGGTATTACTAATACTTACAAGACAGTACGATACAGTACATTGTAATGGACAGTTTGGCATTATTCTGCACTGGTTTTACTATATTTATTATAATATTTTATTGTTTTTTTTTAAATTATTTTGCTATGTTCCTGTATTAGTTTTCACACACATTTGCATATACTATGAAATTATATTCACATTTCCGGTTATGAGCTTTCTACATAATTTATCTTGTATATAATGCGTGAGACAACCACATATCTTCAATTTATGTCATTTTGAAGCGAATCAAGTTAATTTCAATTTAAATTTTAGCAGACTTTCTGTTGAATGCCATTACCTTTCTAAATCCAATATATTCAAGGGCCACTGCCCGAAAAACGTATGTTGTATAATAAGACAATTTGGCCTATATGATCATATTAACTGTCTATATTATTTAGAATCTCATAATCATCAAGAAATGGAAATTATTCATGATTAGAGTTAACCCGCCCATCTGAAGATAATGCGCGTTATTATTTTACGAATAATTAACTATTACTAATCCATGCAATGTTTGTATAACATATGTGCTTATTAATCCAAAATACAAAAATAAACCCTTTGCGTGTATTTTAGCCGTGATTGTGAATCTATTTTCAGATGGAGATTGTTGTTGTTGTGGTTGCTGTATCTAATGTGATGTCGTTAGCAATGTTTGACCCTTCAGCAAACTGTATTGCTGGCTTAACATCTCTAAATAGCGGTAATGACTTGATAGCGAATGAGCAATCTAAGTAGCTATTGCTTTTACCGTTATGTATTCTTGAATCTAAATATTATTGATTTATTTTTACCCATTGGTCAATGTCGACATCAATTTATTTCATTATATTGAATGCATAATCGCCATTAGCGATAGACCTCTACTATTCCATTTGCTTACTTCATTGCTTCATTTTGTCTTTAGATGACGTCATAATAGGCCTAGTATTGAGTGCTTATAATTCAGAAGTGAATGCATTCATCCGTTGCGCGCGTATATTGGATATTTTTTACGAATTGGTTCGTGTGCAGTACGATGACACCTACAATGTGGATGTGATGGCTTTGCGTTTCGCGAGGAACTAAGGCTATGTTCACACTCACGGCGTAAGGCTGGCTTAAGCCTGGCGTAGCGTACGCCTTTGTGTGTGAACTAGGCAGTGGCGTTGTTAAAGCCACTCACTACGCCACGTCCTTGGCGTTATTAACGCTACCTGCAGACCCCAGATTAGCTAACGCCACTGAGCTAACGCCAGTGATGCTTGAATGATTTGACCTCATTTCAAGAGATTGACCAATCACGATTGCAATATATTAGCTACTTCGGTCTCTTTTCTGTGCTCTCTATAAATGAAATGGTAAAGGGGTTCCTTTTCTATTGCATTTTACTTAGTTATAATGTATATGATTTATTGATTGTGTTTTGTAAGATATTTTAACCATTTAGACTGTCTTTGCCCTGGAGAGCGTCGGCTGAGAGAATGTGGACGTTATGTATTTGGCTCGAATTCACTGAGAAAGAAATTCATGAGACACCGGCCCAGGATATCTCAAAAGCTTATTTTATAACTTATTAAATCTAGTTTACATGTTATTGATTCGATAGATGCTGCATATAACGTCAATTCGTTCAGAGATGCCAACATTATTCAGATTCGAAGATAATTCATCACTGTTCTGCAAGGTTGTGCCAAATATGGTCTAAACGTTTCAATTTTAAAATATAATTTAATTTAAAATGTTCTTATCGTTTCGGTTATTTGCATCCAGTTATCAAAAAAGAATAAAATATTGACGTTTACATGAGACGAAATGTAGGCCTATTAATTTGATGGATGTTCCATTACAAGTCACCCAGACATGCCTTAATGAATGGGAAAATAGTTCATGAAGAATGTTGTGGGTGTTATTGCTTGCGGTAGAAGTGGGTTGTGACAAATACTGTTTCAAATGAGTTCTAATACAGTGTGTTGAGCTAATAAATAAACTAGTTTTCTTCTTTTTTTTATACTTTTTGGTAACGGATTTAAATAATTGTCCGTTATTCCACCTCCGCCAAGCGTGGGCTGTTCGGGGAGCCGAGCGATCAGGCTCCAATAAAACCCCGCGACGGTGGTCAGCACAAGAAGCAGGAACATTACCTTCTAGCCAAATGGCTCAGCAATGTATATTTTTAGCCAAAATAAAAATGGAACTTTGAGAGAGAGTAAAAGAACTTGACTGAAATAATGATGAGATTTGCAATGAAAATTAAAATAGCAGAAAGGAGGCTTATTAGCCGCGCCTGTGAGGGTACGCGCTACTTCATCCAATCATACTATAAAAAAGAGCTGATGATTTTTACAATTAGGCCTATTCAGTATTTGGCATCGGTCGGTGCATTGGCTAACTACCGTAATATATCCAGCTGGAAAACAATCAAAACATCAGTAAGTTATTGAAGATTTACCGACTTTTTATTACGGAAAACCATTAATTGATTTTGACCGTCATTTCAATTTAGCGTAAGGGGTTGTTCACATGTAGCATGCTAAAGGGGAGAGTTAGGCACATTTGTACACTTATACAT